CTCTCTCTCTCTCTTTATTTTCCACAAACAGTCGGTGCACGAGATCGGTTTGTGACATGTGGGGTGATCAGAAAACAACGAACTGAACACAACCATTGAAGCAAATCTTTTTGCATACACACAATCTCCTATGAGGGATGGCTGTTGCAAGAATGACAGAAATGAAACTCATCACGGGCTTTAAAAGTGTGGCATCCAGTCACTGCCTTTGGCTAAAAACCTCTTTAATAACCACTTGGAAAAGTCCCCGGCCAGGAGAATAGGGTGGGCACACCTAAGTATACGGCGAATGATCTTGGACAGAGCTCGAGTTATTGATCCGATGATTCCGAGTTAAGGAAGGTTAGGGCATTTCTACCGGAAGTCGGCTTCACCGAAAACTCTGCCTTGTTAACTGATGCGTGACCAGCTCTGCAGCTCATTGTTGGAAGTTCTGCAAAGGCCTCTCATCATTCCGCACTCACTGGTAGTTTAGGTGGCGGGGCTGACTTACATGGCCCTCTAAGCAGGACAACCCAAGTGATTAGGGTTGACCCGTGCATAGTTCCGGAAATAACAAAATATCCCTTGTCCTAACACCAGCAATAACCCCAACACAGATGCAAACCGTTGCCCTACTCTTGACCCTAACCCTACTCTAAATCTTAACCCTGCAGTTAACACTAGTCCCTTCATGATCTTGACTTACCATACCGTAAATTTTACACCGAGTCTTAGGTCTACTCCTTAACCTAAAACTAACCCTAAACTTAGACCTGACCCTAATTTCACTGGAATTTGGCTCAAAGTCAACCGTACTGCAGGCGGTCCCAATTCGCATGTTCTGTTTAGGGGGCCACATAAGTAGTCCTACTCTGCAACATATTTGCAAGGGTTTTACGTTCCTTTTTCTGTTCACGGAAGTCGACTTTATCAGGAGATCTATAAAGGATATTCTTTGGTTCGGAGATCATGCGGTGAGATCAGCCCTTTGTGACAGGTCTAAATCGAAACTGGTGATGTCGTCGATAAAACGCTAACTGGGCTACGCCCTACAGCTCCCGGACGTAGAACAGGTGACCACCA